ATTAACAGGAGGAAAACAAATTTAATTTCATACATACAGGAGTCCCATAAAAATATGAGACCCAAAGGCAAGTCAGACTGATGAAGTTCTAGAATAAAAGTTAGGTTCGGTGGGGTGAGGTCCGGAGCTGATTCTTGAGACATCTTTGGTGCAAAATGGTGGTTTATTAAAGCACGGGGACAGAACCCGTGGGCAGAAAGAGCTGCTATCTGGGGGTTGTGAGGGGTGGCAGGTTATGTATGATGGGGTTGGGGGCGGTCAGGAAAAGGGAGGTTTCAATAAAACTTTCATAAACTAAAGAGGACTTACAAGAAACCAGATACCAGAGGCCTTGCCATTTTCAAGGTTTTTTTCCTCTAGCAAGGTATTAACATTAAGATAGTTGGGAGATTCCTAAAGAATGTCACACATGTCCCACCCAGGAGTCGGGGTGGGGGAAGATTGCAGGGTGTAAGCTTTTGCTTTGTCCTCAGCCAGCCTTTTGTTCCTCATCAAGACTTCTGTGCCTTCCTGAGCTAAGGGCTTCCAAACAGGGGAGCGTAATTCTCAGGACAGTAGGAAGAGCAGATGTTTGGTAATTACAGATTTGCTCTGTCCTACAGATTAAGTCAGTCATTCAGGTAAAAGTCAACCTCTGGTACAGCTTCCTCTCTGAGGCAGGCCCCCTCTCTAAATTCTTTTAGGTAGTGAAGGGAGAGATCAAAATTTTTCTTGACTCTACTGTGTCTTGTGCCTTCAGCTTAAAATAATCCACATGCCAAAGTGGTAGATTTTATGGTCATATATTCTGTGCCCCTTCAAGCTTTTTATAATTTATTGGTATAATGTTAAAGAGTAACAACTCTTTTTATCTGAGATATGTGCCACAGGAGCTGGTGTTAAGGCAAAAATTAACAGGTGTTTATAGATCCTGAGAAGGGCTGGAAGGTAATAATATAACATCTTCATTTAAACCAGCAGGATTTAAGGTTAAGATAGTATCATCTTGTAGTTTCCCCTCTTCCAACTTGCTGTCTACCTCCCAAACCCAGCATTCTTCTTTCGTACCCTGGTCTAGCACTGGAGAATAAGGAACACACAGAAAAAAAAAGGGGCGGGGTGTTGAGTGGAGGCAGAAAAATATTTTTAAAACTCTGTTTGGGTCTATAAGGATTTATTGATATATATCAGTTATCCATTGACATAATAATTCTGTGTCGACAAAGCCAGTGGCTTAAAATAATGAGCATTTACTTAACACTCAGGATTTTGGTGGGCAATTCATTGTGGCTGGTTGTCCTCATCTCAGCCGGGACCTTATGTGGGATTTCATGACTGAGAAGCCATGGAGGTGAACTTGAGGGAGGAAGTCACGATTAGCTCTGAATATTTGAACACAATCAACTGAGAAGGTGAACATTAATAGAAGATTTGGTGTTAGAAAAAGTAGTATTGGGTGTGAGGGAGCACAGGTTAGGGAATCTACTCTGGATAATCTTGATCTGTTGTTTGCCTAAAATCAGAAATTGTTAAAAGTGCAGAGTTCGATAATGCAACACCCCAAACTAATGTTAAAATATTATTTTCCTGTGCAACTGCAAATTATGAAGGGTCTACTCAAGTTGGGGGTGGGGATTGATCAACTAACATTTGCTTCCTCTTAATCCCTAGCATTTCTTTTTAAAATTTTCAGGTTTCTCTGTTTTTCTTCATTTTTCATTTGTGATACCATCTGTTGGTGAGAACATCCAAGGATCACAGTATTTTAGACCTGAAACCACTGAATTTAATTCTTATCGATAAAATAAGAAAACAAAGCTCCTTATAGACTGGTTACAAGCCATAAAACCAATGACTTGGAAGCCTGGGAATTGAACCCTTGGTTCCTATTCTAGTGCGTTCCTCAGTGCTTTGGTTTGGTTGTTGAAATGTTCTCTGGCTTCACAAGGAAAACAGTGGAGACTTTGCCTGAAATTGAAAATTATCAGTGATGGCATTTACATAGTGCCTTCTTAAAAGGCACTTACAGATTCTTTAGCTTGTGATTGAAATGAATAGCTGAGAGAATCTGATAGAATAGCTGAATATTCTAGTTTTTTGGTCTCTTCCTCCATAAAAAAGGGAATTCTATTTTTCCTCATAGAATTGTTAAAATTGGTAAATAACTACAATTTGATGACTTAAATTTATATCTGGCACATATCAATTTTTTGGTATTTTTATTCTGTTAATGTTTTTGTTGTTCAGTTACAGACCATGCATATATCATGGACTAAAGGGGAAAATTCCACTGTCTTAATTTTATTGTGAGTTGGGGAGGAGGAAGGAATACAGAGAATTCAGCTCTTGGAGTTCTTCCTGTATGAGCTTAAGACTCAGCCTCTGACCTAGTGTTTACCAAGAAAGGAGCTGTATCCTTTTGGCTTATTTTCTCTTTTAATATTGGTCAGCAACTAGAAGTAGAAATTTTGAAAGAGGTCATTTTTCAACCACTCCTCTCTGTATCATCTTGGACTTTCATGGCTTTGGGATGATACCTTTTAAGAGCAAATTATTTGGTGTTTGAAGGAGCTTAACTTCTTGAGGAAATGGAATTTGTTGTGGGGGAAGAATTTCTAAGCAAAGGGACACTTTATAAATATCACTCCCTGAAATAAACATCATTGTAAGCTTTCAGTGAAACAAAATGTGGACTTTCGGAATTTATCGAAGTTTAACATTGAACAAAATCCTAAACCCTGTGGTTTGTTGTTCTATAGAGAGGAGACCATTTCTAATATTTTCCACGTTAAAATAAACCAGCAACGAGGGAACCTGAGAAATGGAGCTTCCAAAAGCAGACTAACCCAAGAAGCGCTTTTTCATTCCGAGTATTACAATTTCAGGCCTCTCCAACACTTTCTCGTTCCCACACTGCTGTTCCCTTCCTGCTGCCACTCACTTACCTTGCATCCTGGAAAGGAATAGCAGAAATATCCAGGGTTGATCTTTGTTGAGTCATCCTGAAAATGATAGAAATAGTGGAGGCAGAGCAGAGAGAAGCCACTTGGCAGGGCTGTAACCTTTTGGGAATCATATAGATCTAGTTCACATTGAAGATCAGAGCCAAGGATTTCGCTTCAGAGATATACACCACCACAAACATACACAAAATCTTGTGTATTGATTCAGGAAGTGGTGGACTCCCGGAAGCCTCTTTTGGTACTTAGTCATGTATCTGTGTTGTGAGAGCTGACAGCATCTCTGGCCTTCCTCCTTGACAAGCTTGAGAGCTAAGGAAAGGTTTAAGTGCAGTGCTTGGGGTTGGATCCAGTCCAGATTTTGCTAAAAGCGGACTTGTGGTTTTTTGAGCTCACCTCATTTTCTCCACTCATTAAGAACTCTGAAAGGTCTGATCCACAGCTTCCTCTTTATGAACCAGGAAGAGGAAACGGGAAGCAAGAAGAGAGACCTGCTTCTGAGTGACATTGTTGCCTCCTTACAGTACCATCTGGACACATTTAACTGTTGCAAAGTGGAGCAACCATATATATTTTATAAGCAGTCATGAAGATGGACACTTCTTTGTGATTTGAACCCACTGAAGCCTTACAAAGGGATATCTTGCCAGTAAAATATTCCCATTGTGTAAAGAGACCTCATTCAAGTGCAGCTTTTAAGAGATTTGAGAAGACATTCTTCCAGGAGAAATTAAATAGAGTAAAAGAAAAAAAATGGAAAAGAGTAGGAAAAAATAAGGATGAGGTGGGAAATGCCTGCTGGGTTACATGATTTGATTTGTTCCTTCACTTTGTAGTTTAAAATATAGAAGTTTGCATGTAGGTGAAATGACGCTTTAGGTTTTTGCTTGGGAGTTGTTAATAGCTTTCTCTTGCTTTTCTTTCATTGTCTTTGTTTTTCTATTTAAGATTATTTGTTTGAGAGTCAGAGAGAGTGAGAGAGAGAGCATGAGTGGGGTGAAGGGCAGTGGAAGAAGCAGACTTCCTGCTGAGCCGGTAGCCAGAGGATCCTGGACTCCAGGATCGTGACCTGAGCCAAAAGGAGACACTTAACCAACTAAGCCACCCAGGCACCCCTATTGTCTTTATCAAAGCCATGTGCCTCTTATGCAGAAATACGCGGTTCCCATTTTATACAAATCAGTGAGTTATGGCAGATACAGCATCCACATAAGTTCCTGCCCCTCTAGAAGTTGACATTCTTGTAACCTAGTTTGGTTCCAGAGGCCATAGGCTGATGAGACAATTGCCCATTACATATTGGTGAGCTCTGATCGCACCAGTGAGGTTTACTAACTTTGTTAGCTTGGGTAAGTTTCTTAACCTTGGGTGACTTGGATACTTTATTTTTTCAGGGCTAAGATACTTGCGAGATAGGGCACCTGGGTGGCCTGACTCTTGATTTCAGCTCAGGTCATGATCTCAGGGTCATGGGATCAAGCCCCATTTTGAGCTCTGTGCTCAACAGGGAGTCTGTTTGGGATTTTCTTCCTCTGCCCCCATCCTCTCTAAAATAAATCTTTTTTAAAAAGGTATTTGTGTATTTTGTAGATTGAAGACATAGTATCTCAAATTAAATGCAGTAGGTAAACTCTTGTTTCTGATGATCCCTTGGACCACCAGTGTAACCACACAGTTACCAGAATTGCTGGGTTATTTGGCATAGATGGGGTAGTAATATTCACAGCTAACAGTGCTAGATCCTACTCCAAATATTATTTCATTTTACCCCACAATGTTTCTGTGGAGTAGGTACTACTATTATCCCCCCCCCCCAACACCTTTTTTTTTGTAAGTGAGAAACATAGACGGGCAAAGAAGTTAAGAAACTTACCCCAGGTCTTTCAGACAGTAAGCCGCTGGGAGACTGAAACCCAAGTGGTCTGGATCCAGGAGCCATGCTCTTAGCTCTGATCCTTTTTGACCTTTTTTTGAGCTACAGCTTATTCACAGTGAATGGAGAACATTATGTGTAGTGGACTCTAACACTTATTTAAGATTTTTTTTTCTCTCCTGTTCCAGGTATCTGACAGCAAGGAGCAATAGGCATTTCCTGCTTACCATGAGGCCATTCTTAAAAAGGGCCACTTTGGTCATAAGTTACGTAAGTATATGTATGCTTCTGAAATATCTGATAAGGAATATTTTACTTTCACTTGGCTCAGAGACATGATCCAGATTATTTCATAGAATCAGCAATAGATGCTAACAGCACGATCTTAGGATCAAAGAGTTTACATGCTGTGAATGTTACAAAGCTTTGGAAGGTATGCATTAAAACCTTCTCAGAGTACGTGAACTCAGTGACACGGACAGTGTCAACTGTACTATTTTATGAGTCCCTTTCAAGATGCTGATTCTGAGTTGTCTCAGTGGCACAAACCGAGCTGTATCAGTTACGTATTGCTGCACAACAAATCACCCCCAAATGTAGTGGCTTAAAACAACCACCACATGTATTTGCCCTGAATGCGTTAGTTGGGCAGCATCAAGCTAGGTGGTTCTAATGCTCCTTGTGATTTTTGACTGGGATTACACAAGCAGCTTCCTGTAGCTGTCCTCTGGGCTCGACTGTCTGTGTGTGCTTTCTCATTCCCTAGGGTCTCTCCCTGTGGCCTCACTCTAGCAGGGTAGCCAGGACTTCCTTACAACATGGCAGCTGGTTCTAAAAGCATGAACCCAAAGTTGCAGGACCTCTCAGGGTAGGCCCAGAACTGACCACATTCTGTTGGTCAGTGCAAGTCACAAGACTAGCTCAGACTCAAGAGGAGGGGCAGTTGGCTTCCTTCTTGATGTGAAGAGCAGAAAGCACATGCAAAGGGGGGCAGGAATTCTTGGTTGCCATCTTTGGTGACTGTCACATTAATCACTTTCTTACAGTGCTGGATTCAGGAGACCATTCTCTTATGCTGTTGCCGTTCCCCATAAACTTGAATGGGGAACTTATGAAAAGTCTTTGAATTGTAATGTTACCAATTAACATGATTTTTTTTTTCTTGACACTAAAACATGTTTATGGAAGAAGAGTATGCAGATCCGAATGACAGCAGAGAGTCTTGACTGGACAGTCTCAACACAAGGGACAAAATATTTCTCTAAAGTATTCCCCATTATCTTTGCATGGAATTAGGATGATTCATCACTGATTTCAGAAGTGACTTATTTTCTTAGAGCTGTATGGGAATGCAAGTAATTTGACATCATTGCTATGGGGAAAGTTGTCAGTTAATAATCATTTTGTTTTTCTAAAAATTTATTCTTAAAACCCTATCTTCTATTTATCTTCCTATTCCTTTTGTTTAATTATCACAGTTTTTTCCCTCTATACAAATACATGGTATTTTAGGGAACTTATGTGCTTTAGGGATACTTTTCCTATTACTTTCATCATTGATATTTTCCATTATAATGTCTTTAAGAATTTAATTCAGTTTGAGCAGGACATTGTGTGAACATTAAGATGATTTTCAGTTGCTGCCTAGGCATTGTTTACTATTGATATGCTTTTGGCTGACACCATACATTTATTTTAGGTTTTTGGATTTGAGGTTATTTATATTAAGGTATTTATAAAGGAAGTCAGTGATATTCATGGAAAAGACAATCCAGCTTTAACTGCCTCCAAAATTAATCCTTTGGCTTTTTATTCAAGCAAATGTTTCCCTCTAACTTTAATAAAAACAATGTAATTTTGTCCTATTGAAGTAAGAATCATCTGGAAGGCCTATGTGGGTAAACACCCTTATAAGCAAAACTCATCCCCAAGGAAATGTCTCTGCTTTTGGTTTTCTTATTCACCTTAGCAACAGGATAGCACCATTTAGTCATAGAATTCTAGTGGGTGACACAAAAGATGTTCCTGGGATTTGTTGAAATAACCCTTCATGAATGTTCTGCTTCAGGGCATTCAAGGGTTGGAACACTTCAAATGTGTTTATTCAGAACACGGCAGTATTATTTATTATACTCTAAATTAACTTTCACAGGGCTGTGTAAATGGAATGGTTAAGAACATGGTTGGATAGTGACATGGATTCACCTTCTGGATCTTGCAGTTTATTAGCTATGGGATTCTGGATAAATTACTTCTAAACCTCAGCTTTCTCATCTACCTCTGGGGTTGCTGTGAGGCCGCAGGTGAGATGGAAAGTCTTTAGCACAGTGGATAACAGCTGGTAAATGCTTGCTACTGACAGCTGTAATTAAGAATTTGCTTGCCTCTCCCTCAACACCTTCATTGTTTATACTCCTCTCCCTTCCCAGCTGTTTCCATCTTGCCTCCTCATCTTGAATCTTAGGACTTTATAGAAATGTTCATAGTGAAACAAAATAAAACATTTATAAAGCATCACAAGTGTCCTCCAGAAAGGTGGGGCTTGACACCCAATAAGCAATGATTTTCTTACCAAATCTTCTTTTCTTTGAAGGTGATTGTCATTTTGTACTTCCGTCTGTGGATTATGGGAGGATCTATGCCCCTCTTTTCAGAGCAGGATAATCCAGCTTCATTTTCGCCTTACATACTTACGAGGTCAGTAAACATAATTTTTCCTTTTTTTAGCTTAACATGGTGTTTATTAAATCGTTTTAAATGATCTTAAATGACAGTTTGCCTTCACATTTTAAGGAAAGAAGGGTTGTATTCTGTCTAGGGCATGGGGAGAAAAGAAACTGCTATTCATACATTTGGAATTCTTTTCAACTGGTGGTGCTGTTTTGCCAGGGTTATTGCTGTTGTTCTCCTATTGGTATTATTAGCTTATCCAACAAGTACTTTATTGAGCACTTATTATCAATAATAAGTATCTCCTGAATGACAAGTGTTACAGAATGATGCACAGAGAAGCATTTAGAGGTTGATTGAGCATTAAAACTATTTGTAAAATAAGAGTAAATGAAACAAGATGGGATTGGGAGGGAGACAAACCATAAGTGACTCTTAATCTCACAAAACAAACTGAGGGTTGATGGGGGGAGGGGGGTTGGGAGAAAGGGGGTGGGGTTATGGACATTGTGGAGGGTATGTGCTATGGTGAGTGTTGTGAAGTGTGTAAACCTGGAGATTCACAGACCTGTACCCCTGGGGATAAAAATATATGTTTATAAAAAATTAAAAAAAAACTATTTGTAAAATATGTGGAGAGATTCAAAGTGGAAAACAGAAATGAATAGTAGTTTTTGCTAAGGTATAGCTATTACTATTAGAGATACATACTGTTTGTCCTTAGGAGATTTAGAGATACTGGGTCTGGTTCATTGAGAGATTTTTAATTCCTTATCTGTTCAGTCTGCTGTGGGGTCCTGCTAAGGCTTTTAGATATAATTATATTTTATAATTTTTATAACTTTTCTTCAGGATATATTGTTGTGGGCCATCTGGGTGGCTCAGTCAGTTGAGTGTCTGCCTTCGGCTGTGGTCGTGATCCCGGGGTCCCAGGATCAAGCCCCGCATTGGGTGTCCTGCTCAGTGGGCTATCTGCTTCTCCATCTCCCTCTGTCCCTTTCCCCCTGCTCATGCTCTGTCTCTGTCTCTCTCTCTCTCAAATAAATAAAATCTTTTTTTTTAAAAAAGGATATATGTTGCTATTATGTTTACATATTAAGATGCACTGTATTAAGTTTTTATATTTTTATATATACTTTTTCACACTTAAGATCATTTTTATAATAGTAACCTTCACTTTTTTGATTTTGCAAAGATACAGTAAATCTTAAACCTTGACCTACTGCCCATTTTTATTTGGGCTTACTTATATCTCTTAGGGACAACACATTGTTGGATTTTGTTTCTATGCCAGGCAGTGATCTTTGCTTTATTTGACTCATGTATTTTATATGTTTTAACTGCTACATTTCTGTTTTCTTTGCCCTGTATGTTTTTCTTTATTGTTCCTAGTCTTTTCTCCCTTTTTTTTTTTTAAAGGCAATTTCCCTTTCAAAAAAGATAACTTCTAATTTGGTTAACCCATTTTTACAGAAATATCATGGCACAATTGTTTCCATTACTGCTGATGTATATTTCTGTTAATGAATCTTGGGGAACCTGGGTGGCTCAGTGTGTTAAGCCTCTGTCTTTGGCCCATGTCATGATCTCAGGGTCCTGGGATCGAGCCCCGAATTGGGCTCTCTGCTCGGCAGGGAGCCTGCTTCCCCCCCTCTCTCTGCTTGCCTCTCTGCTTACTTGTGATCTCTCTCTCAAAAAAAAAAAAAAAAAAAAAAAAATCTTAGCTATGCCTTCAGAAATCATATGATATCCAGCCTTTTCAAGGTAGTCTAGACACTTATAAATTGTTTATACCTTATATTTTTCAAAATGTTGTTGTTTGATTAATCTTGACATCTCTAACCCAGCTTTTTGTTGATGATGCAATCTACTTGTCCTTTTTGGGTAACTCTCACTAGATCCTTGTCTGGATATTTTTAGCTCATTGATAAATTGTTTCAGGTTCTGTAGCTCCTTAAATAGCTACATTCACCTCCAGAACAGACTGTTCTGAACTCACCAACCAGTGATTTAATTAGTGTCTTTGTCATCAGTAAACAAGTGCCTTCCTGGTGGTGGTCCTTAGCATCTGGACAAGGTGCCTTTGGTCTCTAACTCACTGCCCTCTTATCTGCTAGGGGTTTCAGTTGCATTTTTATCTCTGCTGGTGGCAGAAAAAATTCTTTCGTGAAACCTCTGGCAAAATTAGTACCTTAGACCAGTCATTTGCCAGGTTCTGCCTTTTACTTCCAAGGAGAGGGGTCTGAAACACATTTCATGTAGGACTTTCTGTCTGTGAATCCACCTATGTAACTATTCTCAGGTAATTTAATTAGTATAAAGTGATAGAATACAATATCCTAGCATGTTTATATTCCCCACCCTACCCCACCCCCTTTTTTTAAAGCATAGCTTTCTGGGGCATCTGGGTAGCTCAGTTGGTTAGGTGTCTGCCTTTGGCTCAGGTCATCATCCCAGAGTCCTGGGATCAAGCCCTGCATCTGTCTCCTTGCTCAGCAAGGAGCCTTCTTCTCCCTCTCCCTCTGCCTGCTGCTCCCCCTGCTTGTGTTCTCTCCCTCTTTCTCTGTCAAATAAATAAATTATTTTATTTTATTTTATTTTTAAGATTTTATTTATTCATGGGGTGGTAGGGGAAGAGAGAAAGAGCAGGAGGAGGAGCAGAGGGAGAGAGACAAGCAGACTCCAGGCTGAGCGCCGAGCGCAATGTGGGGCTTGATCTCAGGACCCCGAGATCATGACCTGAGTGGAAAGCAAGAGTGAACGCTTAATGACTGAGCCACTCAGGGGCCCCAATTAATTAATTTTAAAAAACATAGCTTTTTTCCTGGGGTGCCTGGGTGATGCAGTCCGTTAACTGTCCGGCTCTTGTTTCTGGCCCAGGTCATGATCTCATGGTCATGAGATCAAGGCCCACATTGGGCTTCTACTCATCCCCACATCCCCCAAAACCCATATCTTTCTGTTTCTGTGTTTCATGCTTAAAATACGAGGATACCCAGGGACATTTCAATGACAGTTGCTATAAATGGCTTTTCATATACCTCTAAGATAGCTGCATTATAATTGACTCTATTGAGCATCCAGAAACTTGTCTTTAATTTCTTTCTGAAGTCAGATTTCTACTCTGCTTGCATAATTATTTGACCTCCAGTAGGCTGATGATTCTTAAATTGGATTACTTTGGTCTGTTTCCTAGTTTTATTGGTTTTTCTTTCCTTCTCATCAGCAATGCAATTTAGCTATGATTTGGCTGCCTCCATGAGCCTGTCATTACTAGTCACAGGTTTGTCTTTCAGCTTATGTCAGTCTGCCTCATTGATGCTCCACCTCTTTTATTGGGTTTATAAATTCCCATCTTTGCTTCTGTCTTGCAAGTATTTAAAGTTGATGTAATAACTTCCTCTGTTATCAGGTGAGAATTTTCAAACTAGCTCTCTCTTTCTTTAATAATTGCTATAGTTATTACTATATTGTAATAGTTATTATAGTTGTTAATATAAAATATTGCTATAGTTAGTACAGTTATTAATATGTAGTTTAAAAAAAACCTGGGGTGCCTGAGTGGCTCAGTGGGTTAAAGACTCTGCCTTTGGCTCAGGTCATGGTCCCAGGGTCCTGGGATCGAGCCCCTCATCGGGCTCCCTGCTCAGCAGGGAGCCTGCTTCCCCCTCTCTCTCTGCCTGCCTCTCTGCCTGCTTATGATCTCTGTCTGTCAAATAAATAAATAAAATCTTTAAAAAATAAAAAATAAAAAAATCCCAACAGTTTTAAGAGTTACCTGGGCATGTTTTCCTTTGTTTCATTCAGGGGATTTCTTGGGGCTTTAGTTCTGAGATTTCTTCACTTTTAGATTGTTTCCATGTGGTTATCTAGGAAGAAATACCCTGTCATTTTCTATTTACCAACACTGGGCTGCAAAATCACTGTGGTTTGTTCATGAGAATCCTTTGTTAAGAAAAATTATCAAAGACATGGGAATAAGACAACAAATGACTGTGTGACATTTACTCTAATGTAACAAACCTAGAAGAATACAACTTTGACTTATTTGTATCTATACTATTATATTTTACAACTCTGTCACCTTAGAACTTAACATACAGAATAGGATAGGTGTGATTATTTCTTATTCTCTATAGTAGGAAATAAAACTTCAAATGTTACAGTTTTATTGCCTTGTAGGCAATAAATTGAACAAATTTGTGTCTAATTTACCAGTCTCATTCCTTTTTATTTTTTCATGAACTATGTAACCCCAGTTTTTCAAATTTAATTTGAGTATATTGACATATGTATACATTTGTATATATATTTATTCTATTTATATATATCTATATAATAGTTTTTATAGACATGTAATTTTCTTATTGTACAATTTACCTGCTTAAAAGTATACAATCCAATGGTTTTCTCTATACTTACAGAATTGTGCAACCATCATCACAATCAATTTTAGAACATTTTTATCTCCCCAAAAAGAGATCTTATATCTGTTAGCAGTTAATCCCATTTTACCTCAGTCCTCCACTCCTAGATAACCATTGATCTACTTTTTGTCCCTGTTGAGTTACCGATTCTGGACATGTCAGATCAGTGGACTCAAATACTGTATGGTCTTTTATGACAGGCCTCTTTCACTCAGCATAATGAGCAGCATAAACTGGTCATCCCAGTTGCAGCCTGTATTCATACTCCATTCTTTTCTCATTCCCCAGTAATATGCCAAAAGTGGCTGTACCACTTTCTACTTTTCCTTTCCTCTGTTGATGTCTGCTCCAGGTAATGCTGCTATCAACATTCATAGTTTTTGTGTGACTGTAGGTTTTCATTTCTCTCGCTCATGTACCTAGGGGTGGGATGGCCAGTCTCAGATGTTGACTGTGTTTCACTTTGTGAGGAACTGCCTGACTACTTCCTGGGGCAGCTGCGCCATTTCACACGGCCAGCAGCAGTATTTGAGGGCCCAGTTTCTCCACATCCTCACCAACACTTGTCTTTTTGGACAATCTTTCTGGTATTTGAATTAC